GTCTGAAATGTCCCACTCTGAGTTTGAAATGTCCCAGTCAGAGTATGAAATGTCCCAGTCTGAGTCTGAAATGTCCCAGTCTGATTCTGAAATGTCCCAGTCAGAGTCTGAAATGTCCCAGTTTGGGTCTGAAATGCCCACGTTTGGCTCTGAAATGTCCCAGTTTGTGTCTGAAATGTCCCACTCTGAGTCTGAAATGTCCCAGTCAGAGTATGAAATGTCCCAGTTTGTGTCTGAAATATCCCACTCTGAGTCTGAAATGTCCCAGTCAGAGTATGAAATGTCCCAGTTTGTGTCTGAAATGTCCCACTCTGAGTTTGAAATGTCCCAGTCTGATTCTAAAATGTCCCAGTCTGAGTCTGAAATGTCCCAGTCAGAGTATGAAATGTCTCAGTTTGTGTCTGATATGTCCCAGTCTGAGTCTGAAATGTCCCAGTCTGAGTCTGAAATGTCCCAGTCTGATTCTGAAATTTTCCAGTCAGATTATGAATTGTCCCAGTCAGATTATGAAATGTCCCAGTCAGAGTACGGAATGTCCCAGTTTGTGTCTGAAATGTTCCAGTCTGAGTCTGAAATTTCCCAGTCAGATTATGAATTGTCCCAGTCAGATTGTGAAATGTCCCAGTCAGAGTATGAAATGTCCCAGTTTGGGTCTGAAATGTCCCAGTTTGTGTCTGAAATGTCCCACTCTGAGTGTGAAATGTCCCAGTCAGAGTATGAAATGTCCCAGTTTGTTTCTGAAATGTCCCACTCTGAGTTTGAAATGTCCCAGTCAGAGTCTGAAATGTCCCAGTCTGAGTCTGAAATGTCCCAGTCTGAATCTGAGATGTCCCAGTCTGAGTGTGAAATGTCCCAGTCAGAGTATGAAATGTCCCAGTTTGTGTCTGAAATGTCCCACTCTGACTTTGAAATGTCCCAGTCAGAGTATGAAATGTCCCAATTTGTGTCTGAAATGTCCCAGTCAGAGTCTGAATTGTCCCAGTTTGTGTCTGAAATGTCCCAGTCAGATTATGAATTATCCCAGTTTGTGTCTGAAATGTCCCACTCTGAGTCTGAAATGTCCCA